CGATAAACGACAATATGTGTGGCCAAATTTTGCGATTTGCAATGTCTAGAATATAAACAAGAGAGCAATGCTCAAATATATGGACACGCAGAACAATTCCCCAAAAATCATATGCGGTGACCAACGACTAACATACCGGCGGTGACTTACCAGTACCTGTATCGGGGTACCGAGACGGTACAGGGACTGTCATAGATATTTTAGGTCCTGTGACAATTGAAACATCAGTTGAAATATCTCGTGATATGAGTCAATTATGTACCGTATTATCGGATCAGGTACCGAACCACAGTCAAACATTTCACATAAAACGTTACTAAATAACATGCGTCAACTTAACACCAGCCGAATCGGGGTACAATTTTTGGTACAGTGACTGTCATAGCCGTTTAGGGCTGATGGACAATTCGACTACACGGACAACTCACCAGGCCTAGGGTGGTGTAGCCAGTCTGCGGACAATTTCATTCAAACCGCTATAAAAAAAAAACCAATATATCTAACCCGTTAATTTTTTCACCGTGGGTGCATTGGCGGCATTTATTCTACACGCTAAACCTCGTATTAACTTTCTACGGCAAAGGGTTGAAGCTATACAAATCCCCAAAGTACGGCACTCGAAAGACGTATTTGCGACCGAACGACCAGTGTGCGACCACGGATTTCAAGCCTTGATCATCGTTTATGCTGCGTCGAGACTATCGCATACGCAGCCATACAGCAATCAAACAGACAAAACACGGTGGTCGCAAATTGGTTGACAATTGTTGGTCTTGTGACAGCGTGAAAACATTGGGCTTCTAATTGCATTTCTGACCGTCATATATTTCAATAACACGGTTATTTCGAACAAAACTCGTTAAATTATGAACAAAGCACCACATCACAGCAATCAAACAGACGAAAACACGGTGGCCGCAAATTGGTTGACAAAGATATTATCGACGTATCGGAAATGCACACCCCCTATTCCCCCTCCTTCAAATGTAGAAACGCGAAACTTTCAAATATGGTTAAAAGAAACACAACTCTACCCACCTGCCAAGTTTCATCTTTTTATTTCTCATATTTGTATGGATTTTCAAGCTTTTGACAGCTACGAGTTAGTTCAGTGTCACCGCGCTGTGTTACGGTACCAGAACTTCTCTATCTTTAGAAGGTCCTGTCTTGTGACAGCGTGAATTGAAATTGCAAGATGGTCCGTTGGACACAAAATGGCGTCCGATATCCGCAGAACGTTTAGTGACGTCATAGCAAACAAAAACAAATCTTACAGAGCTAACAGAAATATTTGAAATAAATAAGAGTAATAGCCTTCTGGAGAAAAATTTCATCTTCAACCACTGAAAATTTCAAAGCAATTAGTCCAGTAATCAAAGAGAAAAGCGACTTTTTTAAAAACGTGTCAAAGAACAAGAACAAGAACAACAACAACAACATAATATTGAAACGATCGTTATGTCCACTACGTGTCCAATAAAGAATATAAAATCTGGTTGAGAGTTCATCTTTAACATCCAGTCACTAATGATTATAATGTAATACCTTGTTTTTGGTAACTAACACGCAATTCCCTGCAAGAACCCCGTGGAAAACGACATGCATATGTTGATGGAAATTTGCAATTCAAGGAATGAATGAATATCGACACAAGGGTGTCAACGGCTTGAATAGCACGTGGCGCTGACGAAAACAATCGGCGATTAAAAAATGAAATCGCACGTGTTATTAGCGACTTTTTCAGTAATTTAAGGGCGAGTCCGCCCCCCCTCTACACCCCCACCATTCTCGCTACGCTTCAATCAAGAGCTGCAGTTTGACGTGAAGAGAAAATAAACATATGACTCAAGTATCACTCTTGAACATTTTTAACTACGACTAGACCCCGTGGTTCTCAAAGTGGGCGTCGCGACGCCCAAGTGCGTCGTTTCAATTTTGCTAGTGCGTCGCAAAACTTTTCTTATTTTGTGGAATTGTACCTGTGGTGCGTATAGACAAGTCAAAATTCTCGTTATTTTAGTTTGAATTATACTTGAGAACAGGAGATGACAATATATTAATTATTGTAACGATTAACGTTATCTATATGTGAACTCACTAACGTCACGGGCCACGGGATTCACGTCACGGGATTCAATATTGACACCACGGCAATTGTCTTCAAGCATAATTTAAATGAAACTCATTGCAAAAAAGGTCTTTCATTAAAAGTATCAAGCCGTTTTCACGGGGAGTCGCAACTTGATCACATTTTTTTGGAGGGCGTCAAATACCAAGAAGTTTGAGAACTACTGGATTGGACCATTCTTTAGGACGGTATTTAAAAGGGGTCAACTATTCTGATTGAAGCGCACAGAGTAGAAATCACTCAAGACTACCAAAGCATCGACTTCGATAATATTGCGCTATTAGAACTTGGAATATTGAATCCGGCTGTATTAGTGCATGCGCATTCAATGTATACATCTGGGCCAATGATAAACCAACTAGTTACTTGAATTTTCTACAAAATTGTTCGTACTTTTTGAGTTAAACTAAATAATTATTGCTGAAGATGAGTGTAAATGTAATTAAAATGGCGCCGATCGATATCGTGTTAATTTTATAAGATTTTTGTAAAACAGTAATTGTATTTTACAACTACTGTGATGTTATTTTTCCTATTTAAATAGCTGCCTTGCAGAGAACAGATGCGTGAGATCGGGACTAAGAATATATAGAACACTCTCCTACAATTTCTACTTGTTTAACAGGTATTGCTGGAAAATATTGCCAATAATAATTTAGAGTCAATGACCGAAGAAAGTTAATTCGATCCGAATCCACAATATCAACCCTTATTGAAAAAATAAATAGCCAAAATATCTGCACTCTGGAAATAAAAGTCTCTTGCAAAAAACCTGAAAATTCATTTCTGTGAATAAGTTTGGTCACACAGTTCATCACTGGTAATTGAAATCAAACATGACATAGACGTTGTACTGAAATAAATTTGACAAAGTTTGAAAACTAAAGAATCAGTTAGGCTTATATTATACTGACGTTAACAATTATACATTAAAAAAGGCATTTTTAGGTATTCCTATATGTTGTACTTCATGATATAATATCTTTATGACAAAGTTGCTATTGTATCCAGATTGATATTTCGTTTCCATGGAAATGGCGAAAATATGGGACCATAGTCGGTAAATTACCAATATACTCACAATTTCTGGCTATTTTTTGTGAACTTAGTCGAAAAATGGAGATTCGAGAACGATACCCAAATAAAAATAATCTTTCAAAAATTTATCTCGTTACTCCACAAACTGGATGAGTCTTGGAAATTTTTGGGAACATGTTTCATTTATCAACCACATTACGTCATTCATGCGTGGATGCCGCGCTTAAAATTAGCAGGTAGTTTCGCGTTACACGATTGGTATTGGTTTGGGTGTTAACGGTTTGCTTGAGTGCGGTAGATCCTGAGCGACAGGGGATTTTCTGTGGATTTTCTAGTTTTGATTTGGACTAAGAATTTCGCAAGTAAAATTGTATGAAAATATAATTCTTATTGTTGCAATATAATGAAACTAAATCTAGATTTCAGTCGGGTACAAGGTTTGAATACACCCAATCTCTTACTAACTTAATAAATATTGCAATATAATGATTCTAAATTTAGGTTTCAGTTGAGTACAAGCTTTGAATACACCCAACATCTTATTAACTTAATGATTATGCAGTCAGAAAAAATAAACAAAATCTATTTTCTTTTATACCGAATCGGTAATTAAAATATTTCGGTAACCCCCATGCGCACGATATTGGTTCAGCCAACCAACATTTCATTTTTACCAAAAGAGTTTTTATTCAGCTCTGCCAATGCGTCGAATACGACGTGGTCTACGTTTAGTCTCGCAGTTTTGCTTCAAAACTGAAACTGGCGGTGACCTATTACAACCCACTTATAGAAACGTGATTTAATTTTTAATTTAAGTTTTTTACAATACGTGCATAATTCAATGCGGGCCTTTAGAAATGAAATGCAAATTACTCATAAGAACTGTCAGAAACTTCTTATAAATCTGCATAATTGTTTTATTTCAAAAAAATTTTACTACTCATATTGTCGAAACAAATTAATGGTAAAGCTAATTTAAGATCAGCATGTCATAAAGAAAGACAAAAAATGCAATGCAGTGTTTATATATATATTTTGTATTTCCCAACGAATAAGTCTACCCGCTAAATACGACGAGGCCCGTTTGTAAGCCTGAAAAAATTGATTTTTGCATATAACCTGCCAATAAGACGGGTAGTAAAATCGCATCAACATCGGAATCTAAAATTACCATGCAGAGACATTTAAGCGGTCGCCGCGTTTGCGCATTGGTTAAAATAGCCTATAATGATTTTTCTTATAGCGAAGTATTCAACCCATAAAAACTAGAGAATTCGAATTGTCTTTCAATTTCAATCTAATTGTGTTCAACCTAACTCGCGATTGCGTACACCATATAAGAACATTACTGATCTAAAATAACACGGCAATGATGAGAACATGGTGATGCTATCTTCGAAGGTATTTGGTATTTTATGGTACGATTTGAATAATAAAGCGTCACCAAAAATTATCATACTCGCCTAATAAGACGACCGAACCCCCCAAAAAATAAATCAGGCCAAAAATTTGGGTCTAGAAAAGCGACTTATTCGCCGGGAAATAAGGTATATAAAATTAATCAATATATTAAACGGATAAACCATTTGCGTAACACTTGAAATTTTGTTTAGCACTAAATGTATTGAATATTTGGGATACTAATTTTTGAAATGCAAATCATATGACGAAATTATGAAAACAATTAAATCAATAATATATTTTTTAATTTATAAACATGTACCAACAGAATGTCACGGAATAATTTTAAAATAGACGAATTATCGAAATTTTCAGAATTCTGTTCAAAATATAACCTAAATGTTTCTTGTGTAAAATATTTACCATCTTTTTGACAAGTAATACCACAAATCATAAAGCCACGACAGTAAGCCACAAATCAAAATTAAAATATGACTAATATATCTTGAACCCAACAATTTCTTGCTTTGTACCCAATAATCAATAAAATTTGTCAGTCATATTTGTAACACCACCTATCTATGACACCATCCCTATTTTATTCTTATCTTCTTTTTCTTCTGAAGATACGTCTAATTGAGTTTTCTTGAATAAAAAAATAATATTTGTTATTCTATATAGAATATAAACAAATTTATCAAATAAATTCATAAAAAATAATATTCATATTTAAAAGATACTTCAACTTTGTATTTTTTTTTATGTTGAGATTCGAATCGTTTAAGTGTGGGTTTAAAGTTGTATGGGAGTGTCTAGTTGGAATATAACAGTACTGCAGCGAATGGTGTTTAAGTAAGCAACTCCTTTTGAATATAAATTATGAAAAATTTCTGTAATAAGTGTCGTAAACCTTTGCTTCAATTTTATTTTCAGCAATACCGTTATTAGTAAATGTTAAAAGCACCATATTCTAAATATGTTCAATGTGATATTTTTCTCTGAAATTTTCAATGCGCCTTATTGTGTATTTATAAGTTTGACCTACTTATACTTTGGATTCGTGAATAGCTGTGCTGATCGGTGGATACTTGTAGATAAACATCGTTGATGCGAATTTTTAGCTAAAATAAAAATATGTCTTCAATTGAAATCTTTTTCATAAAAATAGTATTTCTTTATTAATGTTCCTCTTTGAATGAATATAATCAATACCATTTAGTCTACATACAGCTTGTTAATTTAATTGACAAAGTCATGATATTTCTCATAGTATATATGGTATAAGAAGGCATGACACGTCAAACGGTGATTAAATTACGAACACTTTGCACTCTCCGTATGCCAAATAGTTTAATTAAATTTGGGGCTGGACTCAGGTTTTGCGAAAGGGATTAATATGTAATTGATTTTTAATATCAGAACCAGGATAAACTGTATGCAATATGAATAAACAGCAGAAATGAAACACGTACTACTCATCCATTATTATTTGAGCGTTTATTAATTATGTAAATATTTAGCCTCACACAGAAATTCGAAAATTATGGATGATAACCTAGAAAGAATAAAACTGACAGCTAACGTAGTTTTAAAGTGAATTGAAAAAAACAATATAAAAATGCTTATTTGAATCATAGTACATATTCAATCCAAAATAGAAGCGAAAATAGATATAAAATTGTTACATTCACAAGTTCAATACTAGATGGCGGGCTAGATTCAACGCGACATTCAGATGGCGCAAGCTGTTAGAAAAATTGAACAACTAGATCTGTCCCACTAAAATTATTAATTAATATTAATAAATTAATTAGTAATATTCAAAAATCTTTCTCTATTCCAGTTTGTTTACACCGTTTTTAAATACGTCGTCAGTTTCGGATATATTTCATGATAATGGAGAATATGATATTAGCCGAACTACTATAAAATGATAAATTAATGTTACTTTTACTGTGATTCAATTTTTACTGTATTAAATTGATAACAGATCTATACAGATATCCTTTATATCGTAAGTACTTACTTTTTTGTTTAACATTATCAAATCCGATTGTAGGGCATCAATACCTTGTTGGTCAATTTCCCAACCATCAAGGTCAATAGATTCCTCTACTGTACTAAACAGTTGACATAGATTTTTGATGATAGCATGAGATGGTTTGAAGTTTTCTTCGTCCAAGAAAAGTTGCTGGATCTGGATAATTTAAAATCAATCAGTCAGTGCATAATATAAAATTTGGATTCAGTTTTTCCTATGTCCAACAACCAAAAAAATTATGAACGTTAGAGAACAAGAAATTTAATGGGATATTGGTTGAAATGATTATTTAAAAATTTTAGTTCTTACTGTCAAAGGGGTGTTCATAATTCTTTATTCTATTTTTTTTTTTCGATGGGCTTGCAATAACAAAAAAAAACAAATACCCAATTTTCTTGTTGTAATATTCTATAACTTTATAATTTTGTGCTTCGAATTTATCTCGATAATATGTATTCTTATAACCGGTCTAAATTGGCGTTACGAAAAGATTTTCATGCCTAATACGGGATATTTTCAATCACTTGTTCCAACTGGCTGCACTTATATGCCTCATGAGTGCACAAAAATGAGTCCTCGATGACTTAGCATGTTGTCTTAATTGCAATACACATACCTATAATAAAATATCAACTATTTTTAAAGAATAAACTTGGAATAAACAATCATTCAATTTATCTCGATGCAAACTTTAAAACCCAACACAGCCGGATGGCATATACACAGTATTATTCATGCCTAGTCCAACTCTAAAATGTATTATTGGTGTTTTACAGTTATTGTTCTATAGTAGAGTCGTATATTTCACGAAAAAGAGACTCCAGCTTGTCCGAGAATGCCAGTTCTATAAATAGCATCGATTTGAAAAATCGTCCTTCAGACGTAAAATTGTTGATGTGACTCAGACGGGAAATTAACTATAACAAACTCTCTTATAATGGCTTAGTATTGGTTTATCATGTACTTCCAGTCAAACATTCCGTTCCTGGCCAACTTGGTGTATGTATAAAGAATTTCTAAAGATAAAAAAAAAACGTAAAATTAATGGTAATTTTCACGCGTAACGGCGCACTTTAGAATGTTTACGTCTTTCTACGCGCATTTCCGTCGGAAAAAGTAACATTTTTGCATTGAGGGGGCCTGTGCAGTAATATTTAGAGGTGTGACGTCATCAAAATTGTCAATTGAAACCTTGAATTTGAAAATTCTGTAAATACAATCGTGAATTTTAGAGTACCATTCTTGATATAATAGTGGTTTTGGTGTATTCTGTTGGAAAATAACACAAGAAAACGTTAAAAAAAAAACTAATTAATCAGGTATAATTATTAACCCTCTACTAGACACAAAATCTCGCAAGTTCAATAGAAATTTTGGCGCATAGACGAATCATTTTTAGAGGAGTGCGTTTTAAACATATATTGCTGAATAGAACTCTAGCACGCGCCATCAAAAGCCACGAGTGATGCTTTAGGGCCTAATGGTTGACAAAAATATAATTCATGTAAAATGGCCCCAGAGCGACCAGTTGGCAGGAATCACATTATTCTAATACGTTATATATATTTATTTATACGCATTTACGTGAAATTTATTTACATAATATCGAACAGTGGACATTTTGGATGCTAATTTTTTTACTTTTATTACGTCAACACATTTTTCTAATTTGCAAATTAACCTGAACATTTAAATCGAAATATAATCGTATATCTTATTTTCCTTTGAAAATAAATTAAACCTCATGAGACGACGAGGTTTTTGGTGGTGATTCACAATTTTACGGTTTCTGAATAGTTTATGCAGTTTTTTTGTCACCGATGCGTCCAGAGTTTGCAATTAAATTTAGATTAGTCAATCCGCAGCAGACTTTGAATAAACAATGAAAAAAACTAAACGTCATAAATACGAAATATAAGCGAGAATTACAAGTGAGAATGTCAGAATACCCAACGAACGTATTTAATTTATCGACACGGAATGAATTGAAACCGCTATATCATTTATTTTATTACACGTAAGTGTGTAAAAAGTAAGTAAGTGTGTAAGAGAATTTTCGAATATGTGCATACATAGAATGTAAATACGAGACTTGTTGACTAAAAAGAAGGAAATTTTTTTAATCAACTGCTGAAATTATTGTTATCCAAAGTTGAAATATTTCAATTTTTGTTGCCTCACTACCGTTGACTTTGAACGACAATCTCAAATTACAACTGCCTGACAAGTTTTAAAATGCAATAAGTCTAATCATTGTGAATTTTGACACGCTGAAAAGTCAATATTGTCAATTTCGGGCCTATCATTGCGCAGTTAATATATAATAGTTTTGAGTGGCCCATACCGGCGTTACGATATCTGTGACATAAAATATGAGATCGATGTTAATGCCTGCCATTTTCACACATACCGTGGATTCATTTGTTTGGTTACATCTTAAAGACCTATACTAACAAAATTTGTAACCGATATCCACATGAACGTTCGAGCTTACATTAATCGAGGAATTGAGGCAAGTTGAAGGAATAAATAAATATCACAATGCTACAAAAATACAAAACAAACTACGTTCAGTCGCGGATATGAATAAGTGGCTTGGCATAAAACATATATGTGAATAATTTAGAAGAGCAAGCATTAGCCATGATTTCCATATTGCTAAGAATACTGTTTAAAGAAAACTTTGTCACATTAAATAGCGTACCTTTTAACTAATCGAATACCAGAACACATTTTAAAATTAATTGTGATGAAATTGAATTAGCGCCACCTAATGTGGCCAACGTGGCACCATCGTTAATAGTCTCGTGGCTATGCGAAGATTTTATTTGGTTAGCGTGCGTCAGGATTGCTACATCTTGTAGTTGTTCTTTTTCTTGTTTTAGTATAGTAGTAATCTTTAAGTTAATAAAAGCCTAGAAAACGGTCTAAATGGGTTTTCCTCGAATGGTTTCACTACATTAATTATAATTCAATTATACAAATATTTCTGAATACCAAAAACTCATTAATGAGTTCCTTAGGAATCTCGATTAGGAATCTCGAACAGGTTAATGAGTTCCTAGTCCTTTTCAGCTTGCAAATATATTTTGATAAATACTTTTTTAAATCACGCGTGTATAGGAAATGTAGTGAAATGAACTCTGGTATGATTCCTTTTTTGATATAAAACAAATTCATCAAAAATATTTTACTTTCAAACCGAAATCAGTGGCACCCTGTGCAAATGCATTCAGTTTTTCACTTGTCTGAATACTGTTATAAAATTCCAGGCAAAAAGTCTCGGATCTGAATGCCATCCACTCTCCCCACCTCACCCAGGGTGTATTATACTGAGCATGTAGCCAATATCCAATCGAAGTAAAAAAAGGTCCTTCCCATTTATGGTATCTACTAAACTTGTGAAGAGTTTTGTTGGGATTCAAAATCGCCTAAATACATTGTATAAAAACACAATGAGTACTAAAATGAGTGATGTTACAAGTGAGAATATTATAAAAATCACATTTGTTATTTTTCTGCAAAGTTGAATCCGGATGTCCGGGTTTGTATTCTCTGACAGTCGTTTAATTTGACTTCACTCTCCTTTCCGATACTGGTTTCTTCTTTATTTTCATTACTTTATTTTCTTTCAGTGTGTTTATGAATTTTGTTTGTGATCTTTAGTACATGTTTCATAATTAAAATGGGCTTAAATACACGCTTGATTGCTGCACGTGATTTTCTTGGATCGTTCGAGCCACTTTCAAGAAAATCAAGAAAAAATGAATTGCAGATATTTGGCTTGTAGTTTGACAACTTGTTTTCATTAGAGAGTTTCATCTGACAATATTGAAATCTCGAACCTGTTCTAGTTTTGGTGTTTTCGAAGTATGCGCACCAAGATGGCGCACAACCTGAACTCTAACCTGGTACACATAGTACATTCAGGCTGTGCGCCATCTTGGTGCACATACTTCTAGAGCTCTTTAGTTTTTATTAACATGACAACACCTAATCTGATAAAAAATTTGTTCATAAATTTTGCCCCTGCCAAAGTTTTTTCAAAGTATTCCTATGCTCATGGGCAATCATGGTAGCCGAAGTGCTTCATTTTGGCAAAAAAATTGATCAATGAATTATGTGTGCCCCTGTCTACTTTTCACTATTTCCATGTGACAAATTTCTAGATAAACCTTAGCCTGCTACATTATACGCATCAATGTTATTTTGAAGAAAATTTCAATTTATTAATATTATGAAAATATTTACAAGTAAATAAACTGAATCTTTGATACACTCCAAAAAGCAATATTGTACCCGAACGAAAAATTTATTTTTTGAATATCTCAGTGAGTATTAATAATAATTAATTTTGTATAACATTTGTGATATTTCAGTGAATTCATTAATTTTATTAAGTATGTGGCATAACTATTTCTCTGCTTAAGAGAATCCAATGTCCCAAATTTGCACTTTCTATATTTGTTTGCACTGTACTTTGCAATACTAATTAATACAAAAATTTAGAAAAAAGAAACTACACTGTATTGCACTGTACCGCGCACTGTGTTATACAAAACAAGAGACACGAAGTTTCCGTCGTTAAATTTCATTTGTCTTATAACACTCATACGATCTGCCCTTCTTTACGCCTAATCACGAGGCTTGCTTGTTTCATGACGCGATTACGACTTTAGTAAGATTTATTTTGAACATTGAATAAGTATTAAGTATTCATCAAAAATATTCTAACTTCTTACTTTCAAGCCGAAATCAGTGGCTCCTTGTGCAAATGCATTCAGTTTTTCTCTTGTCAGATTACAGTTTTCAAATTGCAATACATCTGCTCCTGTAGTTGAGGCAACTTGAGCAAATTTACAAAACGCTTCGGACTCCATGGTCTTGTCTGTTAGGATCAAGTGATCGCTCTGCAAAATTATTAATAAAATTACTATTTTGAGCCGAGAGGTATTCATTCCCATTTGCATTTGGAATACGCTGCCACCGCATCTATGATTACTCTGCGTGGGTTCGCAGGAATCCATGCTTACGAAAACAAATAACTAACTAATCCCATACTCGACTTGAAATGACAACCGGACGAGAGGCCATGGTTCGCCATATGGTTGAGCCGGCTTATATACTTTCCTCTTCCCGGGATAAATATGCAAATCCTAATCCTAATTTCCCTCCCCACAATTCGTCTCCACGAATGGGTGAAGAACGAACACCATTATAAGTCAATAAATTTTTACCCCTGACTTCGATTTAAAATGTTCATCATTAAACGGTCATTGAAATGTGATATTTATCTGATTTCAAAATTTGCGTAATAGAGAACTGTTTGTAAATATTAATGTTTCCAATTTCAATTTTTGTTCTCATCAATAATAAAGCAAAAATTTGGATTTTTCTTTATGCAATATCAAATTGTTTGGTCAAACATCGAACGATATCCATACATCAACGTTTATAACATGATTGGATTGCCAAAGAGTCATGCAATCAATACAACAAAGCGAAGTAATTGGAAATACGAAGAGATTTGAATGCTTTAAAAAGCTATTATTTGTTTGTTATGAAGCGTTTCGTAATACCACTCCCTACTGCTCAAATTTATCAACAATATTTTAGCAGTAAATTTCGTTCGTCTTATAACACTCATAAATAAACGATCTATACGACCAAACTTTACGCCCAATTACAACTTCTAGCTCTCTTTCCATGTAGAATAAAGTTTCAAGTTGTTGATGTTATAGCACACAATCAAAATTTGGTTCCCTCTTTATTCGTCTTTTTTTTTTATCAAGATCGGAAGTATATGTTTATTCCCATGTAGTAAAGTTTACTTTTAAAAATAAATAAACCAAATGTTTGAAATACAAAAAAAAAAAAATTACCTCTCTCATTCTGTCAGCTGTTGGGCGAGTGAATTGCGCGCAATAAATATTTTTCTTATTGAAAAAGTCTAAAACATTTAATATGAATCATGAAAGAAAATATAATCGTGAAACATTGAGAATTTGAGCGATGTCACGGTTATGTAAACTCACTTTTTTCTGTAATGGCAGCTGCGATCCAACGACTCGTTCATTTTATACCTTCCTGATGTTGTAAAAGGCTCATTTTTTTATGTAGGGTAGCATATGAAATGAACTTCAAAAAAAGACTCTATAGGATTTGCTTGGAATATTAAATAGCTGATTTAAGAGACTCGCGCGACGCTAAGATTTATTGAATTATATTCTAGTTGGGCGACGTTTTTCTATCGAAGCGGGTAGTACAGACTTGAAATTCAAGCGATATTTTATCACTTTCAAACGTTATATAAAGTTATTTCTTATATTGCTGCGTAGGAACTTAGCTTTTTCTCCAAGCAATGCCATAATAAACATTCAAGAGTTCCAGACCTCATAGTTGATACATAGCATTGCAAAACGTCGCGCAAATTTTCCTATGCGCTAATTGGCCCGCGTAAGGTTGCTAATTATCATTTGTATTTATTTTCATTTTAACAGATTTTGCACTGCTTACGACTCCTAGCATTCGCTATATGGGATAAAATATTTTGAGTTGAATTATTCATTATTCAAGCACGAAAAAAATATTATATACATGATGGCACATACTAAAATTTAGAACCCATTTTAATTGTTTTTCTCTTTTAACATTTAGCTTAGCATGGTTTTCTAAAGGGCAGAGGTGAGTAGGGATGTTTTCAAGCACTTGGTTTAAACTATTTTATCAAATAGAATACCACAATCGTAAGTTTCATAAAATAGGCATACAATTCTACCATAATACCATAATAATACATTTGATAACAGCAACGAATGAATCCAGTTTTTCAATTGTGGGAACCAAATTATATATTGTGTACACATCCCCTTGTGTATTTAACCATATTTGAGCAATAATTAAGAGTTGAAGCAAATATTTGATATTGATTAACTCTTTTCTTTACCATCTGCATTTGTTCAACTATGACTATGAGTAGGACCGACTAGCTTGACAATTGGTGCGGCCGTTTCTGGTTCACGCCTTGTTATCAAGGTCCCGCAGTTCACCGACAAGACTATATTTAGTTACGTTATGAGTGTTTTGTCATTCGTCGTGATTTCCCAGCGATGTTCAGACCGACAAACGATCAAGCTTTTCAGATTGTTGCTTATTTTGTCAAAGGTTGATCCAGCCATTGCACATAAGGTCGAATTTAGACAAGACAAGAAGACATAGGCTATTTCGATGCCCCTATTGATCAATGTCGTAACAGAGCTCAATTGAATTCAATATTACCTCATGATATCCATTCAAAAATTATGTCAAAAGGTTTGGTGGCGTCATAAACGAATTCTCGAATTGTGGGAAATACGAGTATTATCATTCGAATTGTTTGTAATATACGGGATTACAACGGAAACATATTCGAAAATAACAAGACAAATTTTATTATTCTAAGATTCGTTTTTGCTTAGATAAATTGGTATAGTTACTTTTCAAAAAAAAATATAGTAATTTTTGTTAAGTTTTTAATAGTGAAGTTTAAAAAAAATTCATTTATTCGACTGTATTTAATTTATAACCTTGTAAACAGAAACTACAGTAATTACGACAAGAATAAATATCATGAGTATAGAGTAATTACATGTCACTTTTAAATATGATTAAACTGGTTAACTTCTTGAACAAGCATTTAAAAATTAGAAACGACTTTAGAATGAATATCAGTTCTAAATTATACCAAATGTCCCCTTAGCTTTGACTAATTGTTGAACTGCCAGTTGATCCATAGAAAAATTATAAGAGGTCATTCATTTCCACTTTAAATATAGTGGATAATAATGCGTATTTAAAACAAAACCGCGCCAACAAATTAAACTATGGTTTTTAGCGTGATCAGAAAACCGAGCCAACACGCAAAGCTTTATTGTTTAATTTATGTTGGCTAATATCCGAATAATGCACTCATATTGACTCGTGAATAACTAGAATTGAATAAATTTATTACCGTATACGAACTACTGAATTAGTTGTTACTTTGAAATGTAACATTTTAATCAAACATTATGTTGTCCGTGCGACAATAACTTCTTGCAATTGAATTTCATTTATCACATGACAAATTTCTATTAAAATCACAGCCGCTCCGAATAGACTAGTCATTACTGTATTGGAAGGCCTTGAAC